TATAAAAATACTAAATAAAAAATTATAATAATACAAAATAATACAAATAATGATATAATAAATGTCAAATTATATGACAAAACAATACATAAAATTTTATATAAATATCTTATTAATTTAATTAAAATTAATTTTTGCTGAAATGTCTAAACAACAAGAAAAACCATCTGATAAAAATGTTTATAGAAAAAAGTCACAACATTCATTACCTTTACAATCTTCAGAACATTTTTTACAACTCCAACAATTATTTTCATTGGTTATATCAGAAGAGCATGTAACAACTACTAGTATCAAAGGTTTAATTCCTATAATGGCAGCTGAATTGCTCAAAAGAAGGCTATCTCTTTCATTACTCACAAGCTTAGTAACTGAAATTGCATAAGTACTGACTCCTGAATCAAAGTCTGTAACTTGAACTTGAAAGAAAATAAAAAAATATACAATTTAAATTATTTTTGAATTATAAAATCTACTTTTATTAATTTGTCAATTTATTTAAAAAATAAAAAGTTACATACAAAGGTAAATGAATTAGAAAAAGCCAATATCAATTTGGAGATACAATTAGTTACACTGGAACATATAAATAGAATATTTTTCAACAAATCAATTAGCAAAAGAAGTATATTGAATATTTAAAAAAGAAAAATGAATAATTAAAACTATATAAATCAGTATTAGAGCCAATAGTAGTTATAGAAACTACAAAAGTGATATCTGAACCTCAAGAACAACCTGAACCTTAAAAACAATCCAAACTTGAATACCAACTCAAATGTGAATATCAACTCAAACCTGTGCCTGAAGCTGAATATATAATTTCAGATTCTGAAAATGTGCTGAATATATTAAAGAGCTGAAGAATTAAACCCAAAAAAAAGAGTAAAACTGTTGAAAAGAGTAAAGATATCGAAAAGAACAAAGTAATAAAAACAGCCAAACCTTCAAAAACTGTTTCTAAAGATGAAAAAGAAAAGGAGGCAAGAGCTAAAATGAAGGTTCTGGTGAAAACTATTTTTAAAGAACTTCAACTAAGGGTAGACGAAATTTATTCAAGTAATACAAATAAAAAAATATTAAGCAAGTTAATATTCAAATTATTAAAATTAATGGCTTCACATTTTAATCCATTAAGAAAGCAGCTGAATGATTAGTTAGATGCTTTATATCATTATTAAAGAGGAAGAAATTGAAAGGCACAAACAGGAAAACCAAATATAGACAATTGTTGTTTATATGCAAATAGCCAATTAAATGAAATAAAATTAATTGATATTTATATTATATTACTTGTATTAATTTTTATCGAATAATAAAGAAAAGGATACAAAGAATTAAAAGTGCACAGTCACTTATTAACAAAAAGTCAAAGAGTATTGCAAGATATCAGAAGAAATTAATCGATATAGTTAAAGAATCAAGAGTTCATTTGACTAAAGAAAGTAAAACTGATTTAGAAAACGATAATAAGAGAAGAATAAACATATATAACTATAGTTAGCATTCTAATAAAATATTATTTAATAAATGATTTTATGCTGAATAATTAATTTATTATTAATTATTTTATAGTTAAAAGATTTATTGGAAAATTTAAATAAATATTTAAAGTCGATTTAACTATTTTAAACAACTCGTAAATGAAATTATAATAAATATTATTGTTACAATATAATCCTGCTAGAGAACATGCCAAGTTGGGCTTGTAAATCAGAGGATAAAGAGCAAAAAATAGAACAAAGTAAAAAAGATAAACAATCAATAAAAAAACATGAAAGATGAAGGATATCTGATTATAAGGAATCACTTATATATTCAGAGGGAAAGAAGTATCAAACTGGAGAAAGTGTACAAATAAGCAAAATTCAGGGCAATATTAAAAGAGAAAAGTAAAGAAAAATCGTAAGAAGCATAAGAAGCACAAAAATTATAAAAAAGTATTTCAAAGTGGAAACTTAGCATTATAAAATCTTTAAGTATTATAAAAGCTATAGTGAAATCAGCAAAAGAAAAGGACAAAGATTATAAACAAAAAGATTCAAATAAAAAAATAGAAGAATTTAGTAAATAATATACAAATAATTAACAAATAATTAATTAGTGAATAATTAACAAATAATTAATAAATAACTAGTGAATAATTATTTCAAATTTTATATTTTTTATATTTTTAATAAATTTATTAAGTATTAATTAAATTTTGCCGAATATTATTATAAATGCAATTTTTTTATTGAAAATATATAATTTGATTTTATTGAAGTATATAATGTTAAATAATTTTGTCAAATATTATAATTTTTATTACTGAATGTTATAACTTTATTGCTGAATATTTTTTAACTAAAAATATTTTTTTGTCAAATAATTTTATTATCAAATGTTATATTTTTTTTGCTGAATTATTGGAGTTTTTTTAAGTGTTGAATAGTATAAATTGAACCAAATAACAAAACTTTAATATAAATTTTTATTAATAAATTTGAATTTAATCAGTTGTAATTTAGTAGCTGAATAATTCAATTTGAAATAGTGAATAGAACAGTAATAATTAAATAGTTTGCTCAGTTACAAATAATAATAAAGAATTTATTTCAATAGACTAATTGATATTAAAGTATTTTTATTTATCAAGACAAACTCTTCAAATATTCTTATATTATTATTATTATTTTTTTATTTCTTAAAACTATAGATTCATGTTAAAATAATGGTCTAAATATAAACTAATTATGATTTTTTCTAAGACTATAAAAGGATCTTAAAAAAGAAGCAATTTTATTATTTTCCATAATTATATCTAGAAAGTTAAGATTTGAAAAGTTTAAAATAGTTAATATTATATAGTAATAGCTTAATAAATCTACTTATTGTAATAATATAGTTAGTAAATAGTTAAATACTGCAAGCAACATTATGGCTTTGATATTAAGGATTCAAGAATTATGTATAAATCTAAAATAATTTGTTAATAAGTATTCTGCAATATGTACAATTTATAGAGCCATAGGGTTCAATATATTGTTTTTTTCAAAAATTAAAAAAAATTTTTAATTTTAATACAAATAAAAAGAATTTATTAAAATATTTCTGAATTGATCTCTTAAAATAATACTGTGTATAATCTTTTCATAATAATAAATAATTTAAAACTGGCAACAAAATTTTATTCTCTAAAAGATTTTTCACATAGCTAAATTAATTAAATAAAATAATTAGATTTGGTTAAACTTACAATTAACAAGTAAATATTGATATATTTAAGATTATTTAAATATATGATATAATTATAATATCAATAAAGACATGGCATTGATATCTTTTTACCTTGAAAAAAATAAAATAAAAAGAATATAAATTTTTGCAAATTAATTTTTAAATGAACAATTTATTTATTATTTTAATAAAAACATATATTAAGTAAATAGTTTTATTTGAAAATAAACATTTGAATCATGTTCTTATCTTTAATTTAGGAACCCTTGTTTATTTCCACGTAACACTTTAAATAATATATATGTAATATTCTTTTGTTGTATTATTGTCAATAGCATTTTGGGACTACTATATACAGTATTCGGCAAAATTTTATCAATAAAACATAATGAATAGTGAATTAACTATACAGATCAATGCATTTTTGCAAACTATTTAAAATTCTGATACATATTTTATATTCATATCTTGAAATAATCTTGAAGTTGATTCTTCCTGTTTCTTTTCATTTCTTGAAAAGAGTCGATTTATGGGACCTTGCGAAATTGCTTCTTCAGACCTAATAAACACAAATTTTTATAAGTCCTAAGTGTAAAAAAGGTTTAAAAAAACAAGTTTCAGAATTTATACCATGTCACAGAAACGGCGTCTTTCTCCAATATAGTTTCACATGTTGCCCAACTGAATCGCATGATACGGGGGAATCCAAACACAGGGTCAATGTTGTTTTTTAGCCATTCAGTAGTATTCGGATCTACATATCAAAGCAAATTACCAATTGCAATCATATTTCCATGTAAAATAATAATTGATGATTCTAAATAAACCTGAAGGATATCCTGATCCAAAAGACTTATTCAAATCCAAGTTTTTTTCGACAAATTTCCATTTTTTCAGAATATGATCGCGTGTGACCTTAGCACAAATACTTGCGGCACTAACTATTGGATACAAGCTATCCGCTTTTTTCGCTACTGTAATATTTATTCCGGGAAATAAACTTGAAAGTTTGGCTTGGTAAGACTCAGGAGGGCCAACTGTATCGATATAAATCTTTTAAAGAGTTAAACATAATATCAAGTTATGTAAAAGTTGTTTAAATAATGAATATAGTAATCCACCTCTGTCACATTAACTCCTTGGCTTAATACTTGATTTATCAAGTGAATCGTAGTATTGCATGCCTGTGCATTTAAATTATGCTTTTCCCTTGAAAAAAATATTTTTAAAATGTTATTTTTAAAATTTAAATATCAAATAATGGCGTTTGAGAACCAACTTTTTCAACATGTTCCAGGAAATATCTTGTGGCGAGATTATTCTCACACTCCATGAAATATTTTCATGAGATTGAATTAATTGAAAGTGCGCTTCGCGAATGTCTTCTTTGAGAGTTTTTGAATCTTCATAATTAATACACAAAGTTAATAACTATTCAGAATTGTTGCATAGAGATTTATTTGAGAACTGAAACCACAAAAAATTATACCAACAAAACCCAATTTAGAAATTTCATCGTATTGGGAAAGTGGACAATAACAAACGCCATAAACCATAGGACCTTAAATATAGATACTGTGTTCAATGCAAAGCATCGTACAAAATATTCTAACGCTGAATAGCTTACCAAGAACTGGACCCCTTCCAGCTTCGTCTACACCTAAAATACAAGGCTCATTCTTATTCGCTTCCAATATTGAAGGTAGCGGCGAATTATAAGTATATGAGTCAGTTAAAGGTCCTTCTTGTACAGAAGGTATCGATATCACACTTGTTTCTCTTTCGACATTAACGAAATGTGAACCTTCATCTGGTGATGTTATATCGTTATTAACAAGCATATCAACGCGTATGACGCGCAAGCAATGTTCAATTGAATTTTATGTGCTCACCATGTGTAACCACGTGAGTCGTAGATAACTATACAAAGTATAGTAGTTTAAACTACCGTATACCACTGCATACAATACCCCGGGTATTAATCAATTTACCCCCTAATAAATTGATTAATACCCGGGGGTATTT